TCCCTGCGGGTGAATCACCCACCCGCCGAGCGCAACGCAGTCCAGTGGCGGAGTCGGGCCTGCAGCACCCTCAGAGCGCCGCAGCCCGGCCCGAGCTTCTAGCTCCTCGCTCGCTCGCTCGCCCACCCTGCAGCCCGCGCCACGCACCATGGCGGGGATCGCGGCCAAGCTGGTGAAGGACAGGGAGGCTGCCGAGGGGCTGGGGTCGCACGAGAAGGCCATCAAATACCTCAACCAGGACTACGAGGTGCTTCGGGACCAGTGTTTGGAGGCCGGGGCGCTCTTCCAGGACCCCTCCTTCCCGGCCATCCCGTCTTCCCTGGGCTTCAAGGAGTTGGGACCCCACTCCAGCAAGACTCGGGGCATCGAGTGGAAGCGGCCCACGGTAGGGAGCGCGGCTGGGCGCCGGGGCGGGCGGGTGTGGGGCCGGATCCCTGGTCTCTGGGCCACCTACTGCCTGGCCGGGTGATGGGGGGATCGCGGTCCGGGGATCGCAGCCCAGACCCGCGCCACAGTGTAGGGAACTGAGGACCCCGCGGGAGCTGGCTTCCTCTCCTTGCACCGCTGCGCCCCGCCCCGTTAGTTACTCTGCGGCCTGGCCGGCTGGGCGGGCTGGGCAGGCTCCCCGCGGGCTGGGGCCTCGACCCCGCCGGTGGGTTATTTCACTCACAGCGCTCCCCAGGACTGGTGAGGCGCCAGATGCCCGCAAAGCCCACGCAGGGGCCTGGGGGAAACTTTGAGTGGACTCCACAGAGATGGCGGGTGGGGTGGGCAGGAGGGTCTGTGGGGCAAGGAGGGTGGGAGGCGACCCTAACCCTAACCCAGGAAAAGCAGCCTCTAATTCTGGTTCAGTCTGCTACAGGGAGGAGGCAGGTCCACAGCCGGGTCGCTTTGCCACTCAGTGACGGTTGGATTTATGCAATCACAGTTTCCTATTTATTTTTCCCATTGGGAGCTGGAGAGACCTCTCCCTGTTCATGCTGGTGATTAAGGACAGAGGATACATTAAGGATTCACTTTCTCTGTATTCTGCTGACCTGGAATCAGGGGAAACTCAGGAGCCCCA